TGGTTACTTAGTTGCCGTGGAAGCAAATGCCGCTCACTTGTTGTCAACTCACTTGTAATATATTTTAGGCTGGAGAAGGACCCCATCATGGGATCCCTATTGTCACTGTGTACGTGCACTTCCTATCAACGCGGGAAAATGTCGAATTTCGAAGACCTCCAGAAATACCCGAGTAAGTGATTAAGAAGACCTAACAGTCAAACTTAAAAGAAACTATATAGAACACGCTTTTTACTATAATAGATGACCATAGTGTCATCTATCCTGTACGAAAACTGTAAGGAAATTAATTTTAGCTGGACAACGCTATGTCGTGCCAATATTCAAGAGCACACTTGTTAAATAAGGGGTTGAAATCGGGCACAGTCGGGTGGGGTAGTGGGGGTATGGTAGCTGCACCAGAAATCTGTTACCATTTACAACTAATCCGCAAGCCAGTCCCTGGCACTGCACCATCACGTTGCAGAGCACATGGTGAGCAGCGTCGGCATCGACGAGCGAACTGTGCTTGGCTTTTCACATCATATGAATGCCTTACAATTGAAAAGAATGGCATTGGATTACCATGATGAAATTATAAGAAAACAGTTAATAGGCCACTGTAAAGCGACTATACCCCCTGGTTAAACGTTGGAATAGCTACCCCTCGGTAGGTCAGGTGACCTTTTACCTGATTCTTGGTTACCCACCTAATTTAAGGGTTCTCTTGGCTTACTAGTTCAAGACAGGGTAAGTCGATAAGCGAGTTCCAGAAAGCAGTTCAAGAGTAGACGATGCGATCGCTGAAACTAGGAGTGTATTTTCCTTACAATTCGGATCCTCTCGAGAACCCTTCGTCAGAGACAACCGTAGAATAGAGTGATACGTGCAAAGATTAAAATGTGATTGCGTCTTTACTTTTCACCACTGCTGCGTGCTCGGCCATTCGCGTCCGACGTAGTTGCCTTGTCCACAATTGAAATAGATCCAGTAAACAACTCTAGCCGTCTCCTGCCATGGCAGTTGGTTTTTTGGTCTCATAAAGGTTGCTTCTGGCCTGTGC